TTACAGCAACAATGCAACATGCATGGGTTCTCTAATATTGTTGTACACTGATATGCATTACTAGCGGCTCGTTTGTTGTAGAGTAATAGTTGAGCTAAACTCGAATTTAGTTCAAATGGAAATTAATTGTTTCCCCGATGCAGCAATGTAGCATGCAAATTAAGATCATACTTACAGTAATGTTGATTGAACGACACTGAAAATGTGTTGATCTGTATGGTAAATAGATTTAAGGGGAGTCAAAGGTTCCGGATAATTATTCAGGTAAATTATTGTCGCAGTTCAACCGAAAAAGGCACAGAAACGACAAGAAAAAAACTGTGGGCGACGCTTTAAAGAATACGGTTTTCAGCTCATTATATATTGTTTTGCTTCGCAGATGGGGGCGGCAATTTGAAAGCATTCTAACGAGACCTTTTTGCAGATTGTGTGTGAAACACGTATAGGAATTATTCAACGTTCTAATAAGTAATTATAAAGGCAACTACATAAACCAAAGAAGTTCAATACTTATTAGTTATTACTGTAGGTAATAGATGTAAAAATAATGTCAACAGATGCCACTGTTAGAAACCCGTGACCTCTAATACCATCCCTGAAAATGTTGGTAAACAACTCCCTTATTACGACAAACGTAATGTAGCGCAGTTTCTTCCCAATTTGAAAAAATAGTACATTATATACCAAGGTAGAGAATATACGTATATAATAAGAGAACCTTTATGAAAATTGCTCATTGGGTAATAATGTCCACATTATTAACCACTTATTTGAACAACTGCCGAGAAAGCCTACTTTACAAGTGAAAAATCATAATATATATAATATTAATATTATTGGATTTGTATAGGGAATTCGAAAAAGTTTTATAACCACCGTATTGTATCTACGTCAGAAAAATCAGATGTCATTAAAATATGGACCGAAGCATCGTTAACTAAAATAATTTCACGCTGTGGAATCCAAGAGTAATGTCTACAGAAGAAATAATCAAGGATACATTGAAGCGTGATAAAAATGAGACCTTATTTTTTGCTGTTAATACTCAAAGTGACGAAGAAAGCGATTAGTAAAGCTAAAGAAAAGTATAAATTATCAACTTCGTAAGGTAAATACCGGAGTAGTACAATTTATAACATAACACACGCGCATCGAAGTTGGAACTGAACTAAAATACGCTACAATTTGTATAAATGTATGGATTTTCTCGTGAGTTTGTATTAATATTTTATATCAAGTATTAAGTGAACATTATATTTGGGAAAATGAATCAGAAGCCCGTGAAGAGTGGACATATTTTTAATGCGCTGTGACTATGACTGGATATATTGGATTATGATTATGATTATTAATATCAAGGATAAATCCAATTTCCTACATTCGTAGGACAAGTCAGACATCATGTTACAATAAAACTGGTAACAACTACATCGTAAGATTAGGGCACATATACATTAAATAAATAGATAAAAGGTAAAGATAAAGTCACATAAAAACATTGGAACATATAGTATTAAGATTACAAACATACTACTACATAAAATATATAAAAAGTAATTAACAAGCTATAAGTTTCGAAATAGAATTTTTTTGTTTATTTATCAATTAAATATTCTTGTGTAGTATAAAATGCTTTTGATGTAAGAAGTTTTTTGACTGCAGTTTTAAATTGTTTCAGTGGTAGCTGTTTAGTTGCATTGTCCAGTTTGTTATAAAACTTTATTCCACAATTAGTCGTGCTTTCATAACTACTTTTTTTTATGACGAGGTACAGGTAACTGGTTTCTCCTTGTATTATACGCGTTAATATATCTTTTGGATTAACAGTGTTGTTTATGATATATTTTTTGACTAGACATAAAATTTTATATAGGTATGTAAATATATACAAGGAACAGTTAAAATCTTATGCTTAATTAAAATAGGCTTACACGTAGCTATAAATGAAAGATTGAATATTAAGCGAATTATTCTTTTTGTCTGATTAATAATTGCTTAAGTTTTGAGTTCTGCCCCATACGCAATATTGTATGTTAAATTTGAGTATACTAAACCATAATACGTGTTTAACAGCCTTAATAAGTCTAAACATTTTCCTGATGACACAGATTCAATAGATCATGCAAATTGCTCCACAAGATGCAGGGAACTTCAAAAGACCTCCATATGACGAACTGTAAGAACCAAATATCACAATCACAATCAAAGACAAAATCTCTCAACTGGTAAGAATGCTGAAATGAATTATTGAGGAAGAACAGCAGGAAGCTCAAGAATAGAAAGGGTCACAAACATCAAAATAAGAGAAATGATGAAAGTAATACACAATAGTAGACAATGGACAAACAACTTACACATGGTTCGGCTCCAGAAGAAGTTTGGATATGTGGGATAGACGAAGATATAAGAGACAGAAGCGTGAAAGATCCCGATTGGATTTGGAAACTCATAGAAAACAATCAGATAAATCCAGAAAAGAAATTTAAACTGTTTATAGATTTATCTACGACTAATATATAATGTGAGTATTAGACTTATGGTTTGTTCGGTAAAATGCCATCAATTATTCCCTTAGGGATTAATGACCAGGGATTAATAGCTCTTACGCACAATTTTTTGGAAATTATCTTATGCAAACCTTATCATGATAATTAACAAAAACAACAAAAAAAGAATTATCTAATTTGGTACAGTCGTTCTGAAGTTATGCGTGTACATACAATTCGGCGATTCATTTTTATTTATATATTATAGATAGATTAAAAAATTTTGACGGTTTAAGAAAGTAAAAGTCGAACAAAAGACATCGTCCCGTTAAAAGTATGTACAAATATTTGAAATAGCTCGAGATTTCAAGCTTATAATTTTGGTGCCTAAAGGAAAGTGCAGACCTAGAAAAACGTTTTTTTGCCGTGCATCAGTATAAGGCTAAGCATGTAATTATAAAACACCACTGGCTCATCAAACGCAAAATCTGCACGTAAACAATTAATCAAAACGGTTATGCAAACGCTGAGATTACCTGTGCTGTTACCCTATTCATCTAGAATTACAATAATAACAACAATTAGTAAAAGCGCGGCTGGAAACGAAATTGATTAGCAACTAGATGAATAATGTATTATCTACGAATCAAGAACCTTTTAACCGATAACCAGTTTACTAATTGTTCAACCGTTTGAAAAAGATTAATCAATTCTCTCTTTATTAAACGGCTTTTCAGTAGACTAACTAAATTTAAAAAAAGGGTTAAATTGCTATATTGTCAATCATGTGCGAACAAAATATATAAGGGACGCTTTATATGTAAATAAAGATTAGGCGCACGTATTGATTTCCACTTCAAAAATAATTTATACTAACAAACTACTAGAAATATTCGTAATAATCCCATACGCACAAACCTGAGGCAAGATAAATTTACATTTAAACCCATTTTGCATTCATCCACTGCTTAGAATTTAGATGTTGCAATTACGTGGAAATTTCAGGAAATTTTGCAGCATTCATCGATAAATGAGTGAACAACTGTTACCTGACTTTATAGCTTCGTATATTTTCTACATGTTTTTAATTTTCGAAACTCTAGGGATTTTTGTTATACCTGCGTATCCGTTCTCTTGTGTTGTTTCGTATATTTCACTTGAATGGTATGTAAATGGGTTCATATTGAATTGATGAGATTTAGTGTTTTTTTTGGAGTATCCCAATTACGCGAATATTATGTAAGTATATAAAATTATTGATTGTAAGATATGTTTTCTGTATTTGATACAAACACGCTTTATTTGGAATACGGTACAAATCTGTGTACATATAAACGGATAAGTTTGGGAAAGAATATAAGAACATCAAACTGACATGGCATTACGTTTACACCGTTACGTCAAATATAAAACAGAAAATCGAAACACTTCAATTTCTCACAAAATATTCCATGAAAAGAAGCGTGTATAGTATAGGTACAGAATTTTCAGATATGCTTTGATAAATATTTGAAGTGTAAATCGAATTGCAACGTTTATGACAAAATTTACACTTAATTTGTGAAATCAGACAATTTCAAATGTAATATTGGTAATTCCAGCAAGTAAGACGATGCGATGAATTCACTAGCGCTCATCTCTGGGTTCCACGTTATTTTATGAGTAAATAAACATTTTCCTCTAGATGACTCCTTCAGGTAGATGATATTAACACATTTAGATTTAAAAGTGTATCGGGTAGCGAAATAAGAAAGGTCGTCGGCAAGCGCAAAACATCTGTTTCACTAAACTTAATTAGCTCACGCAGCGCTAACTAAACCTTATCGCACTGACCGGAGATAAAATTTTTACACAAGAATAAGCTTACTCTTTTAACACGTAATTGCTTTACAATTAAATAAACAAAGTATAAGCGATTATTTAAACAAAATTAACAGCAGTAAATAATTATTTAACAAAATTGCATTGGTTTCAAATTTCAATGATACGATCGAAATTGCGTTCATTCTCAAATTAATGACCACATTTACGCTTATAAGAAAAAGGTGGACACCCTAGTGGTGCCTAGCATGTCATTCGCGCAGATAACCGCTGCGTCACCTTCAAATCACTCTAATACTGTGCCTGAAATCAGAAAAATAATACAGGAAGAGATGAAAAGTTGCATGAAGGTACTTACCACCAAAATCGAACAACTTTCTCGACATGCATCTGGACTTCATAAATCAAAGCCTATCTCGCAAGTAAGCGAAACAAGTATTCAGTTCTTAGAGCCGACCACTGCATCGGAAGTTGAGACCATGGACGTGGAAACGCGAGGGTCAAAGCGTAGGATGTCATTAGCTAGGACAAGGTCCTCCAGCATCACCTCTGTCGATTCGCAGACAGTGCAGGAGGCCAAACAACAAAAGAAAAAGAAAGGTTGGCCAAAAGGCAAGCCCAGAATGCCTCGTTAAACGTCAGGTGATCCGCAAATTTTTAGTCAGTAAATTTAATCTGTGATTACATCTGTGATATGTTTTCTTGTCTTTGTCTATCATGTGAAACTGTTAATTGTTTGTAATAGTCCCATATACACTGTAATTTTTTATTTTATTTACATGTTAAATTATTCTACTGTGTTTGTTTGTACTTACTTTTAAAATGGATACAACAAAAATTATCCAATGGAACTGTCGGGGACTATCTAACAATTTCAACGAACTGAAACTCTTAATTCAAAAGTATACACCATTGTGTATTGCTCTTCAAGAGACGCACCTGAAACCGAGATCAAAATACAATATAAAAAATTTCAGTCTGGTAAGGAAAGATTTTTACTCACCTGAAAGAGCCTGTGGAGGAGTGGCTTTTCTCATTCGAAAAGGCACACCATATAAAAGGGTTGTATTAAATACAACTTACCAAGCTGTAGCAGTACAACTTGAAATTGTTAAAACTTTTACACTTTGTAACATCTACGTTCCTAATACAGCATATGAAGTAGAACAAATTAGACAAATTATAAATCAGCTCCCAACACCCTTTGTTCTTGTCGGAGATTTCAATTCCCACAACATTGTTTGGGGCTCTACCTCAAATGATGCCCGAGGCAAAGAGTTATTGGAACTCATAGAAAACGATAACTTAAGTATCTTGAATAACGGTTCGGCCACGTTTTTCAACGTGAGATCCGGAACATTCGACGCAATTGATCTTTCTATATGTTCTCCAAATATATACTGTAATTTTGAATGGGAGGTGGAAACTGATCTCCATCACAGCGATCATTTTCCCATAATCATTTCTGTTAGAGGCAAAAATCCCACGATAAGATCAGTGGCTAGATTTAAGATCCCACAAGCAGATTGGGAACTTTTTGCAAGTAAGTTCGTCCCTCCAGCCCTAGATAGCTTAAGTTTAAAAACTCTTACATCTGCTATATTAGATGCTGCGAACGCCAGTATTCCAAAATCCAAACCTGGCAATAAAACAAAAATGGTTCCGTGGTGGTCGTCTGAAATAAAAGAAAAAATATCATTAAAAAATCAAGCCTTATATAGATTTAGACGTAATCCTACGTTGGACAATTTAATAATTTTTAAGAAACGTCGTTCGGAGTGTCGCCGAAAAATACTGGAAGCACAGAGGAGCTCCTGGAACCAATACGTGTCCACGATTACACCGGACACTACTAGCAAGGAAGTGTGGAAAAAGGTTGGAGCCGTATCAGGTAAAATTGGTTGCAATAGTCTGGCCTTCTTGCGAGATTCAGAGGGACAAATCACAAATAAACCAGAGGATATATCGGATATCATAGCAACCCAATTTTACCAAGTTAGTAGCTCCAAAAATTATGCGGATACATTTCTTCACACTAAACAACATAAAGAATCCATTCCTATTATTTTTGATACTAACGAAAACTTAAATTATAATACTCCGTTTACCTTAGAAGAGTTGAATATCGCTATCCGTAACACCAAGTTATGTTCACCGGGAGAAGACGAAATCCACAACCAGATGTTTCATCACTGTACTCCTGAAATGCAACAAAGTATATTAAATTTCTTTAATAATTGTTGGAATGAACATACTTACCCCTCGGAATGGAAACAGGCCGTTGTCATTCCTATACCGAAACCTGGAAAAGATCCGTTGCTGGCACAAAGTTATCGCCCAATTAGTTTAACGTCTTGCTTGGGAAAACTGCTAGAGAAAATGGTTAATGTGCGGCTGCAAACATTTCTTGAAGATAATAATATATACGTACCTTATCAAACGGGTTTTCGGAAGGGACGGGCAACGGCTGACCATTTGGTCAAATTGACCGATAGAATTCTGAGTGCATTTGACAGTGGTGAACACCTGCTTGCGGTTTTCTTTGATATAAAGGGCGCTTACGACATGACTTGGTGATATGGAATATTGCAGAATATGTATAAATACAATCTTCGAGGGAAGTTACCAAAATTTATACAATCCTTTCTAGAGAACAGAAAGTTTGTTGTAAGAATCGGTGACATCCACTCAAAAGAGTATGTTTTAGAAAATGGTGTGCCGCAGGGGTCAACACTTAGCTGTTCCCCGTTTGGCATCGCCATAAACGAAATAGCTAAAGGTGTTGAGGGGATGATTGATAAATGTTTGTATGTTGATGATTTAATGGTTTGTTGTTCTGGTAAGACTGTCGGTGCAATAACTCGAAGTCTACAAGTGGCCATAAACAAAATCTGTAGTAACGCCAATGCGGTCGGGTTTGTGCTGTCGGAGGAAAAGACAAAGGTTGTCCACTTTTGCCGACTCCGTAGACCGCACTATGATCCTGTGCTACTAATGAATGATCGTGTAATCAGTGTTGTTCAGGAAGTCAAGTTTCTCGGGCTTACCTTTGACAGGGAATTACGGTGGTCAAAGCATTTAAATAATGTTACTGCTACATGTAGAAAATCGCTGAACATCATCAGAGTTCTCGCTCATCATAGGTGGGGAGCTCACCCTAAGACCCTACTGGATATATATAAGGTCCTCATCCTATCAAGGATGGATTATGGATGTGCAGCGTACTCTACGTGTGGCAATAATGCTTTGCTTGGGGAACTTGATAAGATTCAGAACCTGGCTATTCGATATTCTTTGGGAGCATATCCAACAAGTCCAGTTCCATCGCTCTACGTCGAGGCAAATATTCCCCCTTTAGCTCTTCGCCGGAAACAGATTGTTGCAAACTACTATATAAAAGTAAGGTTAGATGATAAACATCCAAATTTTAGATCCCTTACTGATGCGACTACCATTGCTCGTCTATACAGATGTAGATCGTTAGGTGTTAGGGCTAGAGAGGTATTAAACCACCTCCAATTGGAGAATATTGACTTCACGAGTATGTCATCTACTGCACGGCGTGGACTCGTGAAAAGTAAAATCTATGAGCGGTGGAGTGAGCAGTGGTCGGAGTCTGATACGGCTTTGAAAAGGATCAAACCTAGTCTGGATCCGCTATTCTATATCGACGTTAGACGTTTGAACTTGATCAGGCTGTACAGACTCCGTCTGGGGCATACTGCTCTCACTCAGGGGTATTTGTTGGCAGGTGAAGAACGGCCATTATGCGAACAATGTGGTGTTAATTTAACACCACATCACATTATTTCTATTTGTCCGCAGTATATGAATGTACGTGTGATATTTAATATAAACCCGATATGGGAAAATAACTTCAAAAATGAAGAGCAATGTAAAAATACTCTCGCGTTCATCCAACAAATTGGCATTGCAAACCATCTGTGATATTTTTAAATTTTTGTCTTTATGTATATTTGTGTAGTAAATAAGTAAATGTAATCACGCCTGTCTTGTGTTGTGTGTTCAGAAACTGTGATATTATATAGTACCTTAGTGTAAGTATAAAGGCTAATGGCCATAGATGCCGAAGCCTCAGGTGGGGTTTTAGTGGGTATACCCAGATAATGGGAGAGTCCCACACTACTCCGGACTTCTATCCGGAGTGTGCGTAATGCATTTCCCCACCTGTCAAAAAAAAAAAAAAAGAAAATGAATTCTCCGAAGAAAAAAGGGGCCATAGAAGGTGCTAATGGGAACCGTCCATTTCAGACCGTTTGAGCTAGAGAAAATGAAAACGAAATTTGACGTTTTCAGTTTTTCGGTGATATTTCGGTTTTTTCAAAGATTTTCAAAAATTTCATAAGCGTTTTTTTAATCACAAAAGATGCAACCTACACTGTCATCGTTACGGAGATCCCAATGGGGAGGCACGAATTCGAACCACCCTGCACATCTTAAAATGCAATGTCAAGGTAAAAAAATTTGTCTCACTTCTGCCAGATCGTAAGGCTCTAGTCACACAAACAAGTTTATTTTACAATCGATCTAAGAAAAGTCGACTTTCTATTTAGCAAATTAGCAATACTTCAGAAATCGATGCCTTTTAGTAAATAAAACCGTCATGTGGCGACCTTCAATTTCTTGCCAATTAAACTATGGGTTCCCTAAACCGACCCTTATTTAAATTCATTTTATAAAAAGTATGTAATAGAACGAGTGTTTTAAAATCATCAAATGTGCAATTTAAATGATTAACACTATTGTGGCCATACTACTTATAATACAGGTGTGCATTGTAAATCGAGCGTACGTGAAGCGTCAACTAACCGAAAACGTGCAGACACAATTAGGAAAAAAATCCGGTTTGTCACAGAAAAACCACTATCGGTATACACTATGAATAGATAAATGGATAGAAAGAATTTCCAAATTAATTTTTCCTTCACAGTTTGCATCGTCTAGACGGATTTTATTCTTCAGAATCTTTCCATTACGCGACGATCATTTAAACTAGAATAATTTCAAATAATTATAACATTAACTGTGGAAAGTAAATTATTGTACCTCTTTAACAATAAAAATCAAATACGTGAGCTTAACGACTACTCGTATGGATACAATAAATTGTGGCGTGAGTAAAATGAAATCAACGATCTGAACATCTGCTTTTGACGGTATCGACTTTAAGGAAATATACGTACGAGGTAAAAGTAGAGAAAATTGGTAAACTACAGTCTACAAAAGACAAGAGTTCGGGTTGCCGCTTTTAGCTTTAAACCTGCAATTGTGGCATGTGTTTATTAGAACACGATGAAAATATATAAAAAAAATTACAGACGACAGCTGTTGCTCCATGTATCGCTAACCACAGGTGAAAAGCAGGGGCTGGTCTAGTTCATACACCCCACGGTTATTGTCCTCTTTACACAAAGCACCCTCAGCCCGAGTTCCGCTCATTTTACTACTTGTTATTTTCAAATCCCAACTTAAGTTTTAATTAAGATTATTTAATGCCTTCCAAACTTTATATTTTGGTTTTGTTTTTATTGTACCACTTAATGATCGTTGCCCTTTTAATGTTCAACTAGTTTCTTTAAATATTCATGTCACGATTTGTCGAGTTTTCCCCTTTTATTTTTATTTGTTACAAATTTACGAACGTGTTTAAAAGCGCTAAATTGCGTGCTTAACGTGTACAATTTTTTTCGAAATACAATAATCGGTAAAGAAGAACGGCTTTGTTACAGATATAAAACGTTAGTCTGATGCGTGGGTCGTTGTATACTTTCTCGTTGTTTCCCAAACTGTCCACTCTGTCCGGTTTCGTGCTTACCTGTGTAGGTCATCGCAGCATGTCTCCAGTCACTTCAGAAGCAAAAAGTGAATGAAAACTTTCAGTTCATGTTTAAAATTCGTATCGTTATCAATGCTATTTATAGTTTTATCTATTACTTCACCAGCTTACATAAATTAAATACAATCGCCGGTGTTAAGTTTACTAATTATCAAGGTGCACATACCACCGCACTGATTTACCAATCGGTAATCAGATGTAGGTATATCCAATTAATTGATTGTCAAATAATAACGCCTATTATAAAGTATTACGACACTTTAGTTTCCGCTTGTACACTAAAAATTTATTTTAGGAACAAGTTCCACCTACTTTCACAATTCTCCTTTCTTCACAAATAAAGTTAAAAAGCAATTCGGACGAAAACCGCTTAGTATATTTTGCGTGTAAGTGGGTACTTTCCACCTGGACTGCTGTGCAAAGTACCGATCGCCTGACTTTACGCGTCGTTGTTTGGGAGTAGTGGATAATCTATTTCAAACGTCTAAATAATTACGTACTAGTCAATTTGTCAAAATGGATTACTCAAATTGAACCGTTAGACCTATGTAACTTTTTACGTTTAACCCGCATAAACCAAAACCGTACTTCAAGGACAACATTTAATAACTTATTGTAATTGGTACCTAAATTACAGATTTACAATTCCTAGATCTGGGAATTCCCTCATTTTGAAGCTTATTGTTACCTGAATTCTTAGTTCATGAGCTCACTATGTAATGATATTATGTTTACTGTTCAGTAACCTATTAATCGTCTCTAGTTAAAACGTTCTCAAATTAATCAGCACTTCAGATGATGTTAGAACAAGGGCTGGGAGAAAATATCGATATATCGAATAGCGTAACGCTAAAGTTGGTTATCGATATATCGATATATTGATAAATCATTTTTGATTATGTTATTCGATATATCGATACTTATCGATACATCGATATAATCGATATATCGATAATTATCGGTACGAATTACAAATTCGTGGATGCTGTTCGATATATCGATATTTTATTTATCGATATATCGTTAACCATTTCTAGCGTCACGCTATTCGATATATTGATATTTTCTCTCAATGCTTGATAGGTTTTCCATAAATCACAATCATAAACGACGCTAATTGTGTGCATATTGTGATATATCGGTACCTCGATAATACAGATAAGTATATCCGCATATCGATATTTCGGTATAGCGATATATATCTATATATCGATGTAATATATCAATGTAACGATCTGTGTATATCGATGTATCGGTATTATCGATATATCGATAAATCGATATATCAACATATCGATGTAATATGTGTATATCGATAGATCGGTATTATCGATATATCGATATATCAATAAATCGATATATCGGGATATCGATATATCGCTATTATCGATATTTTTTAAATATCGATATTCGATAGGTATCAGTTTTTCAATATCGCACACCCCTAGTTAGAACAATGCCTGAAAATTGAGAATGTTGACTTTCCTTTACATGCAATTTATGTGCTTATTGATACCCGAATTTTACTGACGAACACAAGATATTTGCAATAATGGTACTCGACGGTGATTTTAATCTGTATGCGCCCCGTTTACTTCATTCCCCCATTTTCTTGATATTTTGTTCTTGAGATAATCGACTCATTAAACACAATTTCCTGCGTATCCGTTTCGGTTTGTTTAAATCACAGATCAATTTCATAGCAAACTGTAACATCGCTTAGCTAAAGCCCAGCAACACACTTTGCGTTTAAAAACAGTTTTAATTTTTTTAAGCGCCTTGAAAGGTTAAATTCGGTATTGCTAGTATGGTATACGTTTTTGAGTAGACCGATTGTACATCTACGTTTAAAATACGAGTCTAATTTATCCATATAGTGCACTTTCTACGTTCATAATACGTATATAAATAACGGTTTTTTTAGTGTTCGTTTTATAAAGTATCACATTTTTTCTTCTTCTTATGTTTAATGTTTAATGCATTTTTTCCAGTTTAGAGCGATGACATTGTGTAAAGCGTTTTTAAAAAGCCGTTTAACATCCGCAAGTTTGTTAGTGGTGTTATTTCTTGCCACCTCCCCTTTTACTTGGGCGGCCAAATCATCTTTATTGGGTTAACTCACAGTGATAAAGCGGCTGTAATGCTCAGTTTTTTTGGCCATTTCGTCTAAGACATGCATCTTGATGCGGGTGAAGGTATGTGTTTTTTCATTTTCAAAAGCTCTAATTTTAGGAGGTTCTCTCTAGGGGATATATTTTATTA